CACGACGCCTTTGATGACAGTAAATATATAAATTAACAAATTTATATTTCATATTTATAATATTAATGAGATAAAAGGATTGTGAATATGTTGCCTTTTTAGTATAAAAGTATAGCTATAAAAACAAGCCTAGAAATCCCTTAAAAACTATTGCTTCATGGCAATTTTGTTTGGAGGGATTAAAGCGAGTATTGTATAGACCAGCAACAGAAATTGTCCATTAATAGTGTTGAAACAATGGCCACCATAATATAAACTGACATAGGCATCGAATGTCTATCGTATTTTAAAAGATCTGTCGTAACCGCAATTTAGGTTAATTGTCGATGCGTTTAATAGACGTCTGTAATATGTTATTCTGCATTGCATACCTGGATGGAGTTAAGTATTTTTACACTAGTTGTAAAATGCAGCTTTGCTCGTGTAAGTGAGTGTAAAAATGTTTAATTTTTTTCCGGAAAGAATCTAGGATAGATGACACTACTCATTTTCATCTGACTTCAAAAAGTCTCTCTCTCTCGTCGTCGTTCGTCGTCGTTTTCAATTCAGTTGTATTGTGTTTGTTACCTTATAACTCTGTCAGTTACAAATCGATTTAGAGATTTCTTTTTGTTTTAAAGGATATATTCACAGACTAGTCCCATAGAAATTTTATCAAAATCGGTTCAATAATTTAGTGTTTAGACCAAAATAACTAGTTTTGAAAAGTGTAAATATTAAAATTACCAACCACGCTGAACAGATTTGAACCAGAATGTGTATAAACTTCATAATTAATAGATTTTTTTATGGTGCTCTCATGATCATGTGTTCGATTTTAGCCAGACCAATGACTATGTAATTAATATTAGAAATGCGAAAGATTGTAATGATGGATGTATAGATGTTTATTACTCTTTTACGCAAAAACTACTAGACGAATTTGAGTGAAATTTAACACACGGGTAGGTTATATTCAAACTTACCACATAGGATATTTTATGTACTGATTTATGTAGATGAAACCGCGGGATATAGTTAACATTTGTTATATCTGTGGCAGTTTAAATCTCTGGCTCTCGGTAAACACCGATACGAAATAAATTTTACTCATATCCACAGAGGTGAAGATATCGTTACTTAAATTACGAGTATACGAGGTTTGTCCGGAAAGTACGTATAAAAGTTTTTTAAAAATTTTATTTTACAATTATTCAGGTAAATCAATTTTATCCCCTTCAAAGTACTCCCCCTGTGACATAATGCACTTGTGCCAACGCCGTTTCCACTGTGAGAAGGCTCCTTGAAAGTCCTCTGGTTGTAGGTTTCTCAGCTGCCCCGTCGTAGCTTTTTTTATCTCATTTATGTCCCCCAAATGCCGCCCCCGAAGTACCAATTTGGTTTTTGGGAACAAGAAGAAGTCACACGGGGCCAAATCCGGCGAATAGGGGGGGTGTTCGGTCACCGTAATGGAATTTTTACTCAAAAACTCACGGACAACAAGAGAGGTGTGGGCAGGGGCATTGTCGTGGTGAAGAATCCAACGCCCCTCTCGCGCCAATTCTGGACGAACTCGTGCCACACGAGCTTTGAGGCGTCTGAGCACATCGACGTAGAATTTTCCATCAACTGTCTGGCCTGGAGGGACGAATTCTTGATGGACAATCCCCCGAACATCGAAAAAAACAATCAACATTGTCTCGGCCCTCTCTGAATCTTTTTAGCCACTTGTGGACGGTTGGTTCCTTCACAGCATCATCCCCATAAACTGTTCTGAGATCGGCAAAAATTTCACGGCCATTCTTGCCGAGTTTCGAGAGAAACTTGATTACGACGCGCTGCTCTTCAACGGAAGCGGGCTCCATGCCGACGGGGTTTCGTTAAGAGGTAACTTCACAGATGGCGTGACAAGCCAGTTCGCACCGCACGGCGGTCAGACCAGAACTGAAGCATTGTTAGGGACATAAGGAAGGGGTCTTGCGCTTACCTGGCCTCCCCACTCCTCTTTCTCGCATTCCAGAACACTTTTATACGAACTTTCCGGACAGACCTCGTATAGCAGTTCAAGTTTAAAGTATTAGTACATAATATTTATAAATGTAGTCACTCGTGTACCTTGTACTTATTGATTTGAATAAAAATATATGTTTACCACCAATCATTAATATTGTAAGGTAGATTTGCGATTAATTTTAATATTTGCAAATACCAACAGTTAAGTTTATAGCAGATATAGTACTTATGTGTTCCACTGCATTTCTTAAAATATAATTGAATAGAAGTAATTCATATCTAAACGAACTTGTTTGCAATAATTTTTAAATTTTCTATTTTAATCATTCTATCACAAGGTTGGGAATGTTGTTATCTGCCGAGAAGAATCTGACAGTCTAGTTTTATCAGCCAGGAAGACGACAGAATGTTGGAACAAGACACTCGATAACCCTTGGCAAAAAAACTTACAAAATAATTTCGAACTTTCATAAGATATAATGACTACCATTAATGACATCTATCATAATAAAACAGTGTGCACTTTATTATATAATATATATTAATATATTATATCATCCGTTATCTGTTCACTATTAAACATAGGCTTCCCGCTATTGAAGTGTTTTTCTAGTAGTTGCCACATCTGGCAGACGGATTGGCAACCACAGTTAGATTTTGGTGATGTTTTAAAAGAGACTATTGCCCATCCCTTGACCATTAAGTTCTCTTAGTTGCCTCTTATGACATTCACGGGACAATATTATTGCTTAATATACATAATTAGATATTATATATCCGTACTAATAATAAAAGTATGAAAGTAAGTTTGTTATAGTACCTTAACGGCTTAACCATGAAATTTGGTATACACGCATATATTACTACTATAAATTATAGGCTGCTTTTTATCCCGGTCATTAAATATATCCCGGTCATGCAAAGTCGCGAGTAAAAGCTAGTAAGTACATAAATAGAGGTGAATTTAGAACCACTTTTCGGTGTCACTTATATAGGCACGATCCTTTTCTTTTTATTTATCTCCGAGGCCAAGGTTGACTTTAAACATTTTTCAAATGGGCATGGTATTATCTCTAATGTAATCGTACAATGTTTTATCAGGTGACAGTTGTGTTTACGGTGTTAATACAATGTGAACTCACGGCTTTACAGTGCAGGCAGACACGGTTCAGGCAGTTCAGTTTTCTAGTTAAACGACTGTAGACGTATTTATCGCGTACGTTCTGACGATTCGCGTTGTGAGCGCAAAACATAATTTAGTTTTTTTAACTTGTCTTTTTAAATTTTTATTCTAAGTGTTACTTGTTATTTAAAAAGTTATGTTATAAGGAAAATACAGTTTACTAGACAAATAGAGTGTATGTGTAGTGCTTAAAAATAGTTTGTAAAGATAAATTTGTTTCTTATCTGTGCTGTGATTATTAGGCTACGTTACTGATACTAATTTTGCAAATATACCGCAGTGTACTTTACATGTTTGTTTTGTGGGTTTGTTTCTTTGTTTATGCAGAGTTAACATTGCATTTCTTTGGTTTTGCGGTTACTGGATCGTATTCAAGGTATTGTGTTAGTTGTATAAAAATTTTATAAAGATATTTTGAATAATAATACTTATAAATTGTACTCCTAGATATTGTTTTCATAGACTACATTCGATATTTTATTTTTAAAATAAAGTCTATAAAATCTGATTATAGCAGCGAAAATACAATTAAACGGTCAAAGATACCAAAATGTAATATAGTTCTAGATTTCCTATAGAAATTGTTGTAATTGTTTAATATTTGGTCTTGTGTTTTACTGAAATAACTTGGTCAAAAAAAATATAATGTTATGTTCAATATCGTAATATTTAATCTTTAAATAAATGCAGCTAAATAATTTTCAAATAACGCGAACTGAATTTCGAAATTTTGGTAAGGACAACAAATAATTTAGATCAAGGTTTTTAATAAACCGTTACGTAATACATGTTAATATAAGTATTACTAGTTATATTCCGCGGTTTTGCCTACGTAAATCAATACATAAAATATCCTACGTGCTAAGTTAGGATAACCTACCCGTGTATAAAATTTCGTTCCAATCTGGTCAGTATTTTTTGGGTGAAAGAGTAACAAACACTAATCGTTAGAAACTTCCGCAATTATTATAATTATGGTATAGTATATCAAATATCAGATATATCTATTATAAGAAAATTCAATCGATTAAATAAAGCTTCGATTACTTTTATTACCATTTTTTATTATGAAAGAGTATGAATATATCTTCCTTATTCAACCTTTTTTTTCCAAATCCATACCGTATTCAGAATTCGAGTCTCATCTTATATTTCTGTGTCTCTCGCCAGGATATTCTGACTTGTTGTTTTTAGCAATAAGCTTATTTTTAAGGTCTATCACTATATTTGATTACGAGGTCAAGGAGGGCGGCCTCTGTCTCTTCTCTTTCTTAGCCATCTAGAAAGGCTAGTGATTTTATATATTTATTGAAATAAAATTTGAAATATATATTGTTACGGTGAGCGTACGGCTGATTATCTAGATTTATTAACGAATTACTCGCCGGTGATCGGGATAATATTGATATGAAATAGTCTCAATATATTTAGCATTAATATAAACCTACGTAGTTTCTAAATGCTAATAGAACACGTGTTATGTAATTCTGAATTTTTTTAATAATAAATATATAAAAAAATAATGTATAAAAATCTCGTGTCACAGTGTTCGTGACTGCACTTCTCCGAAACGACTCGACCGATTATTATGAATTTTTTGGATTATAAATTTACCCTTTCCGTTACATCATTATACGCTATTTATATCATTAAAAGTTATGTTTAATTAATATTTAACCATAAGAAAGTTAAATTCATAATTTTATCCTCCGCAATCGAGTTATACAATGTGTAACAGACTTGTTTTCAGAATAAAATCGTGTTCTTGGCTTTGTCGTTATTGTTCGATTCACACAAACATTGTAGTATCAACTTTTTGTTGCAGATCTCACCAATGTAAATACGATGCAGACAACACGTGAATCTAGCAGACAGAAACGTTGCAACAAAAGGCGTAACTCCAGAAAGAAGTCCTTATCACCATCCGACTTGAAATGTTCACGCAGCGACACAAAAACCGACAACAAATTGAACGGCAAACGATCACTATCAGAAGGGTCAGTGAAAGTGAAACACAGAAAGAGCAATATACGAAGAACTTTAACCCACCCGTTCACGTGCACGGACGACATTAGGGATGTAACTTTGAACGGAGTGTTCAACAGAGACGTGAAAGTGGATCCTCCGCCGGCGGAAAGTGACGAGTCTAATCTCCCACCTACCAGTAGTGATAGGGATACGGAAGATGACGGACGAGTCCTACCTAGGCCGGTACCGCGATGGTCAAAATGGGACTCTGGAAGTGAGATGGATTCTTTAGTGTCAACGGTTGTGAGGAGAGCGTCGGCGCGACGTCGCAGGACGCCAGCAAACCCAGGTAAGATTATGTCATATATCAATTATACACATAGATAATGTCTAGATAATTTTATAAAGAATGTAAAGAATACTCTTTATTTTATACTCGTCATTAACTAAAGTCTAAATGTTTGCTAGTTTTTAGAATTCACGGTTAGCTGGGCACATTAGAATTGTATGGCATTTAATATCATATTATACTGTCAAATATGTAGGATCGTAATTATATTATCTTAATAAATAATAACATCTTACTGCTTATAATTATTCCAATTTTAGCAGTACTTTTATAATAACATAGGCACGTTCTGTGCCGACACTCGACCTACTTCAAGTCGTCGTCGCATTTGATGAATGCACTCCTTTATTGCTCTGCCCATCAGTACTCGTTCATATCTTATCTAAATGCACACATTAACCCCCTTATTCATAAAAACTCAAAGCTTCTATAAACATATTTTAGCTATTGAAGTGTTTTGTCCCTTTTTTTCTAATTGAGAATGTAGCGCAAAATAAAAATGAAAAAAGGTTAAAAGCTAAAAAGGTTTATGAGATGACTGACGTTATTTTTTATAAGGGGGTAAATACTTATATAAAATACTTTTCAACATAGAATGGCAAACAAACTATCTGACGTAAAATCATAATTGTCGCCTATAGACATAAACAGGATCACTGTAATTCCCATGATGGCGTACCTCTCATTCGTTGTAATTCCTGAGCTCTAGAGTGTTGTCTACGTACTTAGTAAATTTAATTAAATCACACTCTTCAAATTTAACAGTCCTATGAGCACAGCTACTTGTGTGTTTCACAAGCTATGAAATACGTTAGCTTCCAACATAATAACTTTAACGTCGTAAGTCTATATTTAACAAAGTATTTTATATGTAAGTCTAGCTATATCTCTCTTCGTCCGTAATCGTATCATGATACTGAATAGCCTATAACCATTTTCAAGACATGCAAAAATATATTTTGATATCCTTCTGGTAGTTTCAAAGTTTAGCGCGTTCAAACAAATAAACAAATCTACTATTTACAAATATGTATTAATACACGTATAGTAAATCTTCCGCTTTATTATGTTAGTAAATAGTAGTAGCTGAATCGGGAGTTCAAAAACAGTGTATACCTTAAAGCCTTTTACATCATAACAAAATGAACCAACCATACATTTCAATATGAATTGTCTTACACTTTCTTGGTTATAATTTTGTATGGTCACGCATAACACCCGAGTGTTTACACCACAGAATACATAATACCGGTATTCTAATCTACCATAACCCATTCTATTGTGTACTTATTACATTATTTATGATTGTGGACATGAGTAAATATTGTTACTTTTAAACTTCTAATTTTGCACTCATGGATCATTTTTCATGGCACCAGTGACGAATGATAGGTGATTCAGTGATAGGTGAGAATGAAAAGGCAGGTCAGTAAGCCCATCGTGATGAATACACCTGGAATTCAGCACCATGGTTTCCAGGGGGGACTACGTGGAGGTCGACCTGATAGGATATATTGCTAGCAATAGGACTGGTAGTTTACAATGTTAACAATCTTCCCACCCCACCCCCATGGAACCATATTGCCCTGTGTTCGCTCAGGATGATATCACAATGTCGTGCTGTTAAAAAAATGTGTTACTTTCGTTATATAAAAGCTATTAATAAAATTTTAGTTAATAAAATATAATATATTCATAATTTATTAATATGTATTATAGAAAATAAATCATGTAGCGATATAACCAACCTAAACAGTCACTGCTCCTTCTATTCCCTAGAATGTCAAAAGAGGCCACTCGGTAACCAAGCATAGCATTGGAGTGCAAAATAAACAAAATTCGAAATAAAATCTTATAGCAAACAATAGATACATATTAATAAGCTAATCGTATTTGTTTCGTATGAGGAGATAGCTATCCCCAGGTTGTTATGAACCTATGCTGCTAAAAATGAATACTTTAAACTGGTTATAATTTTTTTTTTTGTAATTTCCAACTAAATGTATTGTGACTACAAATATTATTTTAACAAAGAAACGATATAGTTAACAATAAGAAATGTGTGGTGCATCGTCCCATTTTAACCCAAAAAAAGCATTGTTTACCTGTTCCGACCAGCAATGTTGCCATTTATATACACACTAGCGACATCTGTTAGAGAATATTAAAAATTATTATTGTATAGTCTCAACAAAAAGCAAATGATTCCCTTTAAAAACATTAGTTTCATTATTTCACTATCCAGATTTTCTCTATTTTTGAAATTATTTGTATCTTTTTACAAAATATAATTAATTAATGAAACTACATACTTACCCGGTAATTGTGAGTTACATGTGGCGTATGCTTATGGGTTCAACCAACATTCATGCTTGCGCTATTCATACATTGGTATATATGATTCCCAAAGAAGCCTGAAGATGGCGCTAGTCTACTTTGTTATGTAATGCGAGTTTTATTTATAAAACGATTCATTACAATTATTCTTTTTTTGTATTATATTATCGTAATATTTGTGTTTCATTTTCTGAATGAATTTCAAATTGAAAAATATAAATTTCTGGTGGATATAAAATAGAATTAAAATTTAATTAATATACAAAAATATACTTTATAACTGTTCGTAAAATTAGAGTATATTGAATCAGATGTAATCTTAATTTAAGGTTACGCGTTTCATAATTCTATCCATACCGTACATTACTTACTTTGACACTTCGCCGATTCTGAAATTAAAACAGTGACTTTTTAATTTCGAAAGATTTGTTTTAAACAGACAAAAAAAAGATTTATCATAATTATTTGTTTGTATTTTTCTTATATCTATGTTTCTTGACATTACTTTATTAATGGACTATTTTCTACGATAATGTGTTAAAATTGAAGTTGATTTCTTTTAAAAAATTAAATTTATACACTTGGGTGCTAGCAAAAAAAGTCGTGCAACAGAATCTTTTTTATATAGAGAGATCCAGAGGGAGACTTTGTACAAAAGTCGATTGCTTGGGTACCTCTGTCCCATTCGTGTTTCTACCGTGAAGCAGTTGTGTTTGCATGGCTGTGTTTCGATTTGAAGGGTGGGATATGGCGTGAATTTACTGGGTACAGAGGAATAACACCTGAGTCCTCAGGAATGGCAACGCATGGGGGGTATCATGGGCGAAACAGTATACTCTGTTATGTCCATGGTACTGCTCATGTCTAAAGGCGACGGTTACCACTTTCCATCAGGTGGACCGTCAGCTTATTTGCCATTTTAAGTAGTATAAAAAAAAAAAGAAAAACATCATTGACAGAATTAATGTAATAATTTTTAGCTATCTGGCTAGCTATCTAGTATCAAGTTTTCCCTCTTTTAAGTATAAGTATTGCGTCCTTTGTTTTCTTAGTCGCTTATAACTTTCTAAAAATAAACAAACCCTCATATAGAAAGTCGTGAAAGAAAGAAAAAATATTATTTTTTTCAGGTAAAATTTGATTTAACCCTTTTTTGAATAGTAATTTTTTTCATTATGGATTTCGTGACACATTATATTCTATCTCCGTCAACAGACAAGGAACAGAGAACGTTACCGAAGCATTGAGTATTGTAATGAAAGGTTTTTGTTTGGAAGGTCGGAAGTAGATGAGAGTAGGTGAGACGTGGGAAGCTTTTACATAAATAATAATAAAGTCAATGTCAAATACTTAACGGAACAATGCCATGTGGGTGATGATTGTAATGCTGTAAAAGTATTATTAGTATAATTAGATAACCAGCAGAATGTACCTAATCCTATATTTTTTTTTTATATTGAAAGTCAAAGGAAAATTAAAAAACGGATTCGAATTTACATTCGATTGTAGACTTTCTTTTGTTTGTTGTACGATATTTTTATTAAGTCTGTATCGATTATGATGATTTTTTTTACAAGTATTTAATTAAAAATGAATATATCTCTGTTGATTTCATGCTATTTTAGTCAATAATAGTGTTTTTGTTTTTAGTTTTTTTTTTTAATCCTTAAGTACTATTAAATGCGCAAATGAGTTTGTTACCTCGCACCGCCTGTGGCTTAAACAATTACTATGAAATTTGGTACATACGTTTTATATGAGATGGAGAAGGACATGAGCTACTTTTCATCACGGACATATCCAATCACTCGGAAAAAGTAATATTATTATGTGATATTAGCTGTATCCTGTGACTTTTCCCATTTGAATTTGGCTATAAACTATCCTATGTGTTGATCTACAAATAGGTTTATTTGTATTTGAATTTTGACCAAATCCGTTTAGACGTTGAATCTTAATTGAAGACCTAACAATCATTATGTCTTTACGAACTATAATATTTATACGAATAATATTGTGGAAAGATTATATGATTATAACAACATCGTTGCGTATGCGCATAAATATTATGATGCAAATGATTGCTTATCTGTTTGTTTTGATTTGTTTACTTTTCTATATGTCCTTTAACAATTGTCGATTCGATAATCTACATAATTCAATTTAAGAAAACTTCTTATTGCCCATAATATTCTTTTATAAATGATTGTTAATTTATTTGTAAAGCGCTGTTGGTTTATTTAATATTTTAAATTGTCAAAATGAGTTTAATTGTTTCCACTTGCCATTTTGACAGCTCGATTGATTGTCCTAAAATCTCATATATATTTGGGAGGTGTGTGTTTCGTTGTGGGTTAAGAAAGACAGGCTATTTTTATCTCGGTCAATTAACATAACCAAATCACGCCGCGAAGTCGCAAGTCAACATTTGTATTATAATAGGAGTGACTGTATACCGCATTTTATTATACGTCCTATATACTTTATATACGTTCTATATGCTTAGATAATATTTGGAAATGAATAGAATCGCATATAATGTTTGTTGGAAACGTAAAAGTTAACTGACAGTACCGTTCCGCTAGACGTAAATACAGTTAATTTTCACTGTGATTTACTTCGTAACATGATGGGACGTTTTTCGACATCGCGACCGTTAAACT